TTTGAATATTAAAAATGTCAAGAGTATAAGATTTTAATATCAAAATATTGAGAATTATCTTTAAATAAATATTGTCATGAACTTACCTTAGATTATTAAAAAAAATATTTCACAAAATATTTTTTAATTTATTAAGATATAGACTCAAAATTTTATACTGAAAAATCAATTTTCATCACTAGCTAACTAAATTTGATTTAGTTATTATTTTTATAGTAAAATTTTGGTTCAATTACGTCTGGGGATCTTGACAAAATTAATATATTTATTTTTATATAATATTTATTTTTTATAAAAATAGCTAGTTTTATTAAAAATAAATAAATTACAATAAAAGTTTAATCACAACTATATACATAATAAGGGTATTTTTTTATAATGACTAAGACAGGGAAAATATTAATAAATATAACTAAATAAACTCGAACAAAAGGTAGATACAAATAGATCTAACTACATTGGTAAACAAATCATAAAAGGGGATCAAACTATTGAAAGATTACCGACAAACCACAAATCAAAGTCGAGTGACGTGAGAAAATTATCCACGAACGCAAATTGTGTATCCAAATCAAATTCGATGGTCTAAAACATTGAAGATCACCATGATAACAAATAAGCGTCATCTTTAGCCGTCGCGACGATGTTAAATTCAACCCTACAAAAAATAACGAACAAAAATAATGGTCAAATGATCAAAAAAATATGTCAAAAGACATTTAATCTCCATATATTCAAATGAAAGATTACTAAAATAATAAGAAAAAAGTAAATATACAATATAGTAAAATAAAGGAAAAACAAAGAATATCAACAACCGGCGACTAATACTAAAATTAATATCGCTATCAGTTATAAAGATAAAAAAAGAATAAAAACCTAACAACAACAAAAAAAAAAGTGAAAAACAAAACTAGGAGTTTTTATCAGACTTTTACTTGTTAATTCAAGATTATATTTAATCTCCATATGTTCAAATGAAAGATTAGTCTACAATGAACATCGCATATGGAAACACACCACTAATTGAATTGTCCTTATTAATTAAATATTAAAAGAGTAAACTACACGTTTAATACCTAAACTATCCTTTTTTAAATTTTATCTCAGTATCTATACTTTATTTTTCTTTTAAATCATTTATAATGTTTAATTTAAGCTTTAATTTCATATCCTACCGTTAAAAATTTAATGGTAATGTTGATGTGGCATGACACGTCAATTTTATTATTATTTTTCAAATTTTTCATACCTCCTTTCTCTTTCTCCGTCAGTATTTTTTTAATTCAATTTATTCAACCAATTGAATGTGGGACACTTGCATCAAATGCAAGACACTTAACCATTGAACTAAGCTAGTAAATTAAGTTAATTTCACCAAAAAATTGTATTCAACTTCTATAACAACATCAACACAAAATAAATATTTTTATGATGATTATAAGATTCAAATATAAGACACTTTAAATTAATGACTAAACGTTTAGACACTCAATTAATTAAAGTGTAAATTTTTTTTTATTATACTTACGTACTTAACTAATACTTAGTTATATCATTATTAAATTAAAAGATTAATTTTTTTATTTTATTTAGAAATATAAAAATAATTAAATAATTTATATATTTTTATAAAATTTATATTTATTCAATCTAAAAATTATATTTATAATATTTTAAAAATGTTTATCTAATTTTTAAAACCAAATCATTTATTTATTTGAAATAATATTATTTAATTTTTAAAATATTTATTTAATTTTCAAAATCATAATATTTATTTATTTGAAATTATATTATTTAATTTTTAAATATTTATTTAATTTTCAAAATCGTATTATTTATTTATCTGAAATAATATTATTTAATTTTTAAAATATTTATTTATTTTTATTATACTTAACTTAATATTTACGTATGTCATTATTAAATTAAAAGACTGTTAATTATTTAGTTTTAAATGAATAGTATAATATTATAAATAATAAGTAAGTAATATGATTTTAAAAATGAAATAAATTAATCTTTTAATTTAGTAATAATATAAGTATTAAGTTTAGTATAATAAAAAAAATATTCACTGGCTAAGCTTTCGGTCGTTAATTTAAAGTGTCTCATATTCGAATCTTATAACCATCAGAAAGTATTTATTTTGTAGTGGTGCCGTTAAATAAGTTAAATACGAAATATGATAAAATTAATTTAAATTACTAGCTTAGCTAAATAGTCATTTTATACAAGTGTCCCAAGTTCAATTCATGTTTGGAGTAAGAATTATTTTTTCCGTTTTAAATTTTTATCCTCAATAATAAAAATTTGAGATGTCATGCCACATCAGCAATGTATTTTTTAACAGCGAGGTACCAAATTAAAATTTAAACTAAACATTAGTTGTGATTTTGAAAAAAATATAAAGTTTAAGTTTTAAAATGAAACAAAAGTAACAATTAGGTACGAAACATATAATTTACCCTTTTAATATTTACTTAATAAAAATAATTTAATTAATGATGTGTTACACTATGTTACAATAGTGATGTGTTCATAAATGTCGGAAATTTGTGGTTTGATGATATTTTTACTCCTTAAATTGTTTTGTCCTTTTTGAATCTTGAATTTTTATTTTTTTATGGAAAATTTTAATAATTTCTATATTTTTTACAAAATTTTAATATTTCCCTTGTTTTTATAACTTTTTATTTTATAATAATTTTTTATATTGTTATATATATTTGGGAAAACTACATTTATAGTCACGTAAGTATATAAATGGTTCTATTTTGATACTGAAACTAAAGATTTTATCAATCATGTTACTTACATATTGAAATAGTATTAATTAAATAATAATTATTAACAAAAAAGTTGATGTGATAGTTAAGTAAGTTCGTATAATTTACATTTTAACTTCATTACTTACGCATTCCATCAATTTGATAATAATTATATAATATGTTGTCAATCTTAACCAAGTATTGGACTTGACTCGATGGTAATTATATCCAATAGACTTGGGTTTAAATATGGTGACATTATTTGATTGAGTGTTTAAATTTATTAAGTTATATTAAAATTTTTGAATGTTTAAATTTATTAAATTAAAATTAAGAATAAATCAACAAATATATAAGTAATGCAAATCAAATATACAATTATACAAAATTTATTTAATTGTTACATTGACAATTGACGGTCAAGTTATATATATATATATATATATATATAGTCGAACGTAGATGAGTACGATTAACGATGAATATCATTAAATTAATTTATAAAACGTTAAATTATAAAGTACTAAAGGTATAATTATAAATTAGATAAAAATTTAAATGTAATTTAATTAAAATATAATATTTATTAAATATTAGTTTTTAAATATGTAACATTTTTTAGTTTTTATTTTTTTTATTTTTATACAAATTTATAAAATAACTAACATTAATATAAGTTAAAAATTAAAATAATTGATGTGAAACCTAAATTTATGATTTCCATCAATTATTTTAGTTTGATAAAATAAGTCAAAGATCAAGAAAAAAAGAAAATTTCAGATTATAATTATTTATTTTAAAAAATAAATTTAAAATATAATATTTTTAAAATGTGATATTCAAAAATCATTTATATAATAAATAAATATATATTAATATAAACTCATGCATTTTAAATATATTTTACTTTAGAATTTAGCTGATATTAATGGTGTAAATTAATAAAAATAATGACATAATTAATATAATGAAATGACTATCAAGCTCAGTTGGTAGAGCACAATGTTCTTAACCTTGAGGTCGTGGGATCGAGTCCCACGGAGGGCATTTCATAATTCGAAGGTCTCTTACGGAAGCTGTTCTCAACTTGGTGTTAGGGGTAGCCTACTATCTTACCTCCCCCTTACCCCATATATATGGGAAAAAGGGATAGCCAATGACATAATTAATATAATATTTCAGGTATTTAGTTATAAAGTTGTGGTCAATTTTTTTAATACAATGCGATGATTATAAGATAATATATGTTCATAATTTTTCTTAATTATTGAAAACATATATACATCTTAGGAATGACAAAAGAGCAGGGGAGGTGCGAATACTCTTTTTACCATCTATATATACGTCTAATATTTTCTTATTCACCATCTACACACTACCTACGACGGATGAAATTTTTAAATCCACATCTATCAACGAGGGTATATTACGAAATTCACTCTCATAAATCCATACCCACTACCCAACTGGATACTCATCATCCATTTCGTACCTACCTGTACCCACCTATATCTACCTAGCAACAACCTCACAAATTATATAAGCAACAAAACATAAAATAAACATGTTCATTAAGAAGTATAATAAAATGTTTACACCCTTAAATAAATGTTTATACCATAATATTTGGTTAAATTACAAGTCATGTGCTATAAAATTTTAAGATTTACATAATAATCTCTGAAATTATACGTAAATTCATAATAATCCAAATTTTATATGGTGGGTAATTAGTGAGCGAATGGATGAGAGTGGTAAGGTCTCAAATCCATCACCTATCCACTGCCTACAATATATATGATTTTTTACATCTACACTCGTCCAGTACTCGTTAAACTTATACCCATCACTGTCTCAATTGAAACAGGTACGGTGTGAAATCTATGAAATTATACCTATTTATCATCTCTAATTCACATATATAACTACTCGAAGCTAAAACCTATAAAAAATACACTCCTTTTAATCTCTTAGTTCGTTTAATGAGTTAACTGTGGCTCATTTAGAATACGATGGAATTAAACCGAATTAAATTTTAAGAAACGTTTATGGGCCAAAGAAAGAAGTCCTTCAAATGGGTTTGAATGCTGAGGCTTGGTAGAGATTTTCGCTTCGTCCAATCAGAAAATGTGCTTCACAAAGTGTGCTCAGCTCTGCGGATTAAATTATTTCGGGTCGGCATGGCAACCCGAATCTGATTTTGGAAAGACAAATTTGGGAGATTTCAGAGTGTTGAGTGGCTGGAGGAAATGTTTGCATAGCTGCGATCGAAATTGCTGGGTCAGAGCCACCGAGTTTCTGAGTCTTCATGGCTGATTTTCATACATCGTCTCACAGAGCTAAGTGGATCTCCTCTCCTCGAGAGCTGGTAAATAATATGAAAAAAAGAGCATTTATCATTGTTTCTTAAATGTAAGGCAAAATCAATTACTCCTCTTAGCAATGCATTTTTTTCCTATTGTTTAATTGGTTCAAGCTGCTCGTGCTAGTATCTTTGTTTTATTTTCTTCATTGATGCTTTATTGATGTAAGAGAAGATTGAGATTTTTTTTATTCTTTTTGGTTTTTCTCAAAGTTCAGTTGGAACTGCAATTAATTGAGAACTTTGTTAAGTATAAATTAGGTTCGTTTGTGTTTTCATTGGGTAGAATACTATTGTTCTTTTCTTGTTTTGCTGATATAGGTTGAGAAATACAAGAGTGTTAATCAAAGAGCAATACAAACACTGGAGAAGGTATGGCAGAGCCTTTGCTTTTCAGTTGTGCGTGTATCTGTGTTTGCACGATCTCAAAGGCTTGTCTTTATAGTGCAACTTCGAGTTATCGTTTTAGTAAATTAAATGAAATTGGTGTTGAATTCCATTCTTTACTTTCCATTAGCAACATTTTTTAATGTTGTCTGTTACAAATACCTGCCATTGAAAGCATTCCTAGTAGAATTTTCTTCCATTGTTCATTTTATTGAAGCTGACCTGCTTGTTTATTCTGAAGTATGGAACAACTCAAATGGGAGTAGATGCTGAAGGTTCAATATCGTACCCTGAACCTATTGCAAGGGATAATGGTAAATTCATTTTCCCTTTCCTTTTAGTTTCATAGTGAAATGCTTAGTCACTGAGCTTAGCATGTGATATTTTGATTGTTCGTGTCAGCTGACAAGCGTCCAAAACCTCTTAACATTGAAGAAGAACAATTCATGCGGGTGTTTTATGAGAACAAACTTCGAGAAGTTTGTAGTGCTTTCTACTTTCCTAATAAAATTCAGGTACTTGTTACATTTTTTATGATAACAGTCGTAGTCATGAATATAGACAAGGTCACAATTGATGTGCTTCTACTTCTGATTCACATTTCGCAGGCAACAGCACTTATTTTTTTCAAAAGGTTTTACCTGCAGTGGTCGGTCATGGAACATCATCCAAAACATATAATGTATGATTCTTCTACATCTCTTTCAGATATATGCTATAATGCTTGTTATATCTGCATGTAATCTGCTGTATGCATCATTCTGGTGTGTGCTTTAGACCATGTTAGAAAAATGCATCATGGGCTATTTTAAAATTTTATGAAGATGGCAGGCAAGTGTGTTGATATATCCATCCTCACCTCCCTTAATTTGGGTCAAGTGAAAAGTTTATCTTCTGGAATTTGTCTCGTCACTGATTTTGTCATTTGATATGTGGTGCTGGATGATCTTTCTTTTGACTGATAATCATCATTGTACACAAAAATTTCTTTAGAGAATACTGTATTTGTTAAATTTAAAAAGTTCCTTTATATCTGTAGGTTAACCTGTGTGTATGCGGCCTGTAAATAGAAGAAAATCATGTGTCAGCTGAGGAGCTTGGTAAGGGGATTTCACAGGATCATCAGATGATTCTCAATTACGAGATGGTTGTGTATCAGGCATGCTACTGTTCTTCTTCCTCTTTCTTTTAATCTTGCGTTTCTTTTTTTTTTTGCTATGTTTGTAAAAAGTACATATCTCAATTTGCAGTGTCTGGAATTTGATCTCATTGTTTTTGCACCCTATCGTTCACTTGAAGGTTTTTTCAATGACATGGAGGTGGGTTCGGTTAGTTATTATCCCTTTGTTTTACCGTCCATAGCTGTAAAATACTTTTACTAGAAAATTTTAATTTATTTGGGAAAATCATTTGCTTCCCCCTTATTTGCTCATGTGATTCTTTTTTATTTCAGTAGGGTTTTTCTTCCTAAAAAAAGGAATGAACTTTTGAAACTCTCAGTCTGTGGTCAATATAATCATGATCCCTTTACCATTGTATATAGCCCTAATTAAGTCCATGTGATTCATTTCCCCCTATAATTAATGACAGAGGGTTTGGTTCTCTAGGAATTCTGTGGAGTAAAGGATGATGAAAATCAAATGCTAAAGGTAATATTTGTTACTTCTTTCAACAATATCATGTTTGATAGCCTCATTCCTACTCAGGTCTGGACATATATCAAATTTTGATTTGACATTCAATGGAGCTTGTGTCTTGTAACTTCTGGCTCATCTGATCCAAGCTCGTACCCTAGTACTAGTGTGGCTGGGGAAATAACCTACTGCCGGCAATATCTAGCCTTCAAAATAATAAATGCATTCCAAGTGTCTATGATTTGTTAATATTGCATAGGATTTGCAAGAAACTGCAAGGCTGGAAGTTGACAAAATTATGCTTACTGATGCTCCACATCTATTTCCTCCCGGCCAGGTGCTCTTTCTGGTTCGAGCTCCTTTTTGAGTGTACTTTTTTTCCATATTTTTGTTCGATTGATAGCCTCGAAAGAAAATTTCTTTCGTAAGGGTCTTATGAAATTGGTTCTTCTAAATATATTCGTTGTTTGTGGATCTTCGTTATCTATAATGAATGAAAGCTTGTTATGCATCTTCGTATTTGCAATCGGTCAAATCTGTTTCATGGATCGATTAATCTTCCTATAATACGATTCTCATGGCTTTGCTTGCCGTTGCTATATTACAGTTGGCACTGGCTGCTTTACGCAGCGCAAATGAGATGCATAGAGTTCTCGACTTTGAGGGGTATTACATGCTTCTTAATTCATGAAGTTCTCTTAGGATTATTATAAAACGATATTTTACAATTCATTCAACTCGTGCGTCGTGTCCTATGTAGATACCTAAGAAGTCTTCTCGCACGGCAGAATTCCGAGAACTCCGTTTTGCTGTTTATAGAATCTCTAAATGCTATAGATGTTTGGGTATGGTTTCATTATGATTTTATTTTAACTTATATCCAGTTCAGCAACAAATGCATGCGCAATTTCACTGACATACCGATATACTTTTGCCGGCAACAAATGCAGGTTAGGAAATACAAGTTCCCCACGGAAAAGGATATGAGGCACATAAACCGGAAGCTGAAATCTTGTTTGGGGCATGACGAGTATGTTCCGTACAATCCGTTCTATGTAGATACTAGATTATTTGGTTTTCCACCTTACGTTCTACGTGGATTCGTGCTGATGATAATTGGTTTTGTAATGGCAGTAAGAAGCAGGAGAAGAAAAGGCACAAATCCCATAAGAGTTCAAATGAAGCTTAGAACGAACCGTCATCGTCCCTTGCTTAACCGTATATTTTCGCTTGCACATTAGAGTTGACATTATAGTCCAGATTATCCCGGTACCAATCTGGTGGGAGGCCGGGAATGACAAGGTCAAACCATTAACAAGGGTTATTGAAACAACCCGTTTACGGCAGAGTCAGTTCGTTTAGCGAACATCGGTACATTCTGTATGGTAACCGGACCCTTTGGGGAATAAGCTAAACCCTTTTGATATGAGGTTGCTGACCATTGGGCTCTCATTTCATATGATGGAGATTAGGCTTTTTTGGTACTTGGAAAGTGAATTCTGGCTTGAGGAATAACTTCGACTACATAGGACTTGCTTCTTGCAATTTTTTCTCTGGCAAATTCTTCGCACAACATCAAGGTGCTTTCTTCTATCGAAGAGATGCTCTTTTAATTAGAGCTCTAATTACATTCAGTTTAACGGGATTCATAAATTGTAATGGTTAGTTAAATATGTCACGTATGTTCAATTACACTTGGGGTGTTTTTGGTTCAAGGAATGTGGGATTCCGATGTGAATCTCACATTCCCATGTTTAGTTGGCCGGGAATCTCATTTCCGGTAATGTTTTATTATCAATAGTAGATTTTTTTGAGGTATATTACCGGGAATGTCATTACCTTCATTCCCTTAGGTATTGTAACATTACCGGCGTTTTGGATTAAAATACCTTTAAATTTTTTTTTTTTCAAAAATATCATTCTTCTGTCATTGAATAATAAAAATTCTACGAAGGTTAAATTACAAATTTATCCTTAAATTATTTTAGATTTACAAAAAAAAAATTAAAATTAAAATTTTATATGAAGTTCAGGGGTTAAATTCTTTTTACCATTTTATTAAACATTTTTTTATATTTTTAATTTTGTAAAAAAATTATATAAATATTATGAATTTAATTTTTTAAAGAAAATATATAAATATTTTATAATTTGTAATATTATACAAATATATAATAAGGACAATTTGGTCAAATATACATTCCAATAATCTTTTATTCCTTTAACCAAACAAAGTAATCTTACATTTCTGTTAAACCAACTAAACACAAAATACAACATTCTTAGTAATCCTATTCTCTGGTAATCTTTTATTCTCACTGGTAATCTTACATTTCGTGAACCAAACGCACCCTTAAATTCAAATCCAATTATTGTTTAATTGTCTGTGATGTGATTATAATATAGTATCTAGAGATGGACATGGGTCGGGTTGGATTGGGTTTTTGGTCCATCCGACCCAACCCGACCCGAGAACAAGGAGTCCTCCACCCGAGACCTGAACCGACCCGATCAAAACAAGTTTTCACCTGACCTGATATATAACTTGAAAACCCGATTCGAGCTGACTCGAAATAATAAAAAATTATTTTTATTCAATAAAAACAGTGACTTAATTGAGAAAAAATATATAGAGATGGGTATTATTGTAATTATTCTTAAATATATAAGGTAAAATTATATTTTTTCGGGTCGGTTGGGTATTTTTCACCCTAAATCTAAATCCGACACGACTCGAATCCAATTTTTTTTTTAAAAAACCCTACCCGATCGGGTCAGAACACGTCGGGTTCGGGTCCCATTCCCATCCCTAATAGTATTTGTTCAGAATTTATTTAATTTATTGACCACACACCCTACAAACGTAATTGTTCGAACTTAAAATCTCTAGAGAGAATAATATTTTTTTTATCGAGATCACTTATTATGTATCATCCAAGTAAAACTAGGTTCAAGTATTATAGATGAAAAAAAATCAAACTTTATAATCTAATGTGGTCAAATCTAGTCCATATATTTTTAATATTGTCCATATATATATATATATATATATATAATAACAAGCATATGCCTCAAGGTTTGAATAGTATGTTCACAATCAGCCATGTAATGTGAAACAATATTTACAGAAGTTACTCTCAATCTGGTGTTGGGATCAATCTATTATATTACATCTCCTTATTCCATACATATGAGAAAAAGACAGCCAAAAGCTTGATTCTAGAGTTTAAGAAACCCTAAACCTAGCTACAACCCTCCACCCACTTTGACTATTCTTTTTGCTGGAAGTTTATACATAGATTCGGCGGAGGTTATTAAAATAGTATTTATTCAATTTTTTTTAATTTATTGATATTGTGAATATATTTTATAAACGTTATTATTTTAGCTCGAAATCTCTAATAAAAAAAAAGGTACTTTAAGTTGGTAGGATGTTTCACAAATAATTTAAATAATTATTGTGTGATGAAAAATTACTATTTTAAAAATGACCTTACATTAGTCGATATAATCATAAAATTAAAGTGATCCTCCAAAGTTGATATAAACTGTAATATTCAAACATTCGAATAAAGAAAATGGAATTTAAGTGGTATTAATCTTCTCGAATAATAATCATCTCTCAGTAACGATACCATAGTCTTATCTTATAATTTTCTCTCATTAGTGATCGTTCTTTTTTTTTGTCTTTATTGATATGCGACGACATCAATTTTAATGGTGGTTGTATTTTTATTGTCCTTTTATTTTTTTATATCACATTTTTATTTTCTTTTGTTTTTTATTTTTAATAAGTATGCTGTATGACACACTTTCATATATCTGCATGGCACATTTTTTAATCATTTGACTGTTGTTTTCATTTATCTCTTTTTCTGAGGGTTGGTTTGATATCGCTACAACTGATCAAGATGATGCTTATCTGTTATATTGTTGATCTCCCTGCGTTGAACTCTCGGATTGGATTTGGATACCCGTTATGTGTTCGTGGATAGCTTTTCACGTTGCTCGAGTCTGATTTGCGGTTTGTCGATGGTCTTTCAGTAGTTTGATCCCCTTTTGTGGTTTGTTTGTCGATGCGATCAAATCTTTTTGTATCTATCTTTATTTGAATTTTCTTGATTAGATTTTAATTTTCATTGTATGGTCCTTATGTGATCTTAAGTTAGTTAATCGCAATTGCAGAACAAGTTTTCAATAATTTTTTGACTAATTCAAAAGGAAAAGTTTTTCTCCACTAGTTTTCCTGTTATAGATGAAGGCAAGATAGTTCGTGATCTTTACAATTGTGCTACTGTAGTTGATCATCTAGTTATTGTATCTTGGGAGACAAAGGACCAACGATCTCAGGCACCAAAGGAGTAGCCGAAAATTTATCTTATGGAAACTGTGTAACGACATGACTCAACTGTTTCTAATCAAAATATCAATAAAAAAGAGTATTTTTTCTTTCTTTCTATTTATTTTATTTTATTTTTAAGAAGTTTAATTTGATTTGCTTTATCTTCTCAAGTGTGATTATAGTCTCGGATTATTATACTTTTAACAATCCTAAGACGTGGTAAATTCGTTCTTTATCATTAATTTTTTACAATGATATTTGATAATTATTATCATTATATTATTTATCTATTTTATTCTCGGATTAACGACTTTTATCCAACAAATCCCATCCACGTTGGCAATTGGCAGTGTTCCGTTTCATTCCTCCATCATTCTTAGTAATGAACTCGATGCTCTCTCAAGCTTGACATGTAACTCTTTATATTCCACAAGCTTTCTTATAGTATGTAAACACATATAAACAGGAATGTCTATAATACATACCATTTGATGATGTACGAATTTTATAACGATTATTCACGTGTCATCCACTTGATTATTCTCGATTCTAATATCACTTATCTGATCAATTTTTTTTTTATAATTTTTTGTACATTTATCTATGTGCATGCTTATGCATAATAAAAATGGAATCCACGTACTAGTTGATGACATACAAGTTGGTCAAAGATGAGAAGTTTGGTAAAGAATTTATACAACTATTTGAATTATTATTATCTAATATGAGGAAAATTATAAGTCTCTATCTCTTTCTATAGATATAGATATACACATATTTACAAACAAAAAGAATTAATACAATACTTTCCAACTAATCTTTTAACTAAAAATTAACACATAATATTAGGTTAAGAATGAGTTTATAAAATTTTGGAAGACAAATTAATAAGGGTTGGTTTAAGTGGTAAGTAGCTTGATATCGCTTGAGTAAGGTATTGAGTTCGAATCCTTGTATATGCAGAAAATCCTTACTGGGAGATTTGCCCACCAAAATCAGATATGCGACATGGGTCAATTTGAATTAGTCAAGACGAAACTTTAAAAGCTGGAGGACAATAATTTTTTTAAAAAATAAAAATGTATTATCAATAAAAATATAAAAAATTATTTTCCATAAGAATCTTATTATTTCTACATATTTTATGGCTATCCAAGAAAGAGAATATGTGTAGGTGTGTGTGAATGAATGAAACCCTAAAAAGAGTTAACAATATGGTCCCCCAACCCCACTACCCTGATAATCTGGGAAATATACTATCTTTAGCTTGAAATATTTGTTTATCTTATCCTATTTATAAACAAGTGGAGGATATTCATGCACGTCTGCATGTTCTGGAATCGAGAGAACATACTTCCATATCGACTCCATTTTGCAGAATGGCCGTTGTTTTTCTTATAGGTATAATATCAAAGTTAGCCCCCTAACATTTATCAAAATAGTCATTTTGGTTCATATTATTTTTTGGAACATTTTGGACCCTAATATTTCATTTTAGGGGAAAAAACTTATAACGTTTGACCAGATAGTCATTTTGATGTTTATTCCTTTTTTCTAGAGTATTTTGGCATTCAATGTTTTATTTTAGGGCCCCTATTTTGGAAAGTTAATCGTTATTAACTAACGATTTCCATTCACATAAGAAACTTTTTGCCCCAAAATGAAATGTTACAAATAGGGACGAACCTTCATGGGGGACAAGAGGAGCCTTGGAACTAGCTAATTTTTTAAGTATTAATTAATATTGGAAATTTTATATTTTTGAAAAAACAAATAAATAAAATTTACCAAAATCCCTTCAATTAAAAAATTGTATTTATAAAAAATAATTTAACCCCGTCTTAATATACCCCTGATTACGACCAAAATGCTCCAAAAGAATAGAAATTAAAGTAACTATTTAATTAAGAGAAAATAACCTCAGTGACCGAAAATGCCTTGTAATATATGATTTTGACCAACTTTTTTTTGGATTTGCCTAAATGACAAAGTAAATCGCAATGCGATCGATAATTCGCAACGCGATCTCCGGTATCGCAAATCAGTTTCCAGATTCGCAACGCGATAGTTGAAGCTCGCGTTGCGATTCATTCCAAATCGTTGCGATAGTCTAAATATTGCATTTGTTTCTTAAGAATTTTCTCTAAAAAGATAGAATTCGCGCGGACGTGTCGAAGACACGTATTACCACGACCACGACCCGAGACGGGACGGGACGGCGGCGACGCGCGAGAGTCCCCCTTGTTCTCTATCACTCAACAAGGAAGTGGGAAAGCCAAGCC